GGAGGGGCCTGGTGGGCCCGGCGGCTCCCAGCGACCCTCCCCAGTGAGGAGCCAAGGTAGGGGTTACATCAGCAAAGTGGGGGTAATTGTGTTCGTGTTTGGCCAGTTCGGCCTGCGAAGTCAGTTAATGTTGGACGGTAGTCAGTGGCTTAGGAACTATTATTGCTGTCATGGCTTCATTTGTATTTCATCACAACTTCAGAGGTGGAATGTCGTTCTGCTTGCATACAGTCCTGAGGGTCAGGAGGGGTGGGGGGACTGAGCTCACGCCGGGGTCTCGGGCCCGGGGCCTTGCCCCTCCGGGCTGCTCCTCTGCTCAGGTTCCGTGAACGCCAGCTGTGGACCTCCAAGCCCCATCCATGAACCCAGCATTGGTGCGGGACCACCGTTGACGCCGCGTCCTCACTTTCTCTGCGCGGCGAGCGACGATCCGCCCGGCGGGCTCACCGGGACAGCAGTGTCAGCAGACGAAGGGAAGGAGCCGCTGTCCGGCCCGGGTGGAGGGCGCTTCTCAGACATGAGTGTCAGCTGCCCGAGGATGCCACTCCTTAGAGCCAGTCTGAAGTTGTGTTCTTCGGGCCAGTGTGCAGGATTTGGGTTGCTTTTTCAGGATCAGCCTTGGGTGCCTTAGACCCAGGTGGAGACCATCCATAGTAGATGGGTCAACAAGTGTGTGCGTGCAGTGCGCATGGGGTGCTGGGGTCCGTGGGTGAGAAATAGCAACAAAACAGGAGATTCGGCTCTGGGGTGAGGAGCTCCTTCCCAGTCCAGCTGGGAGGGGCAGGCGTGTGCCCGGGGTGATGGGAGGCATGTGGGGCAGCATTGGAAGCTGCCTGCTTCTCCGAGGAGCTTGACCTTGAAGGGCAAGCTTGACCTTGAAAGGCAAGGTGGGCTTGGGCTGGCTGTATGTGTTCACACGGGGTGGGGATCCTCCCCCAGACGCATCAGGCACAGACAGGTGCCTCGTCCTACCCGCACAGTGACCATCAGGAAGAGTCTCAGGTTTACAGAATCATAGGTTTCGACACTCCCAAGGCCACATAGTCCCTCCTTCCCAGAGAAGTCCATCTTCTGGAAATCAGTTTCTTCATCAATATTTTCTTAACCTCATTTAATAAAAGAGCTGTTTTCACCGGCCTTCTTAGGGTAATATCTGCTTTCTGCTGTCGTGTTCTTTAACTGCAGGCTGTTTTCCCATCGTCTTTGGGGATGAAGCTGGTTTCTGGCTTCTCCTCTAACATTTTCTATCTCTGGGGTATTTCCTGTCCACTGCTTCTGCCTAGCCAAGTGCACGGTCACTAGATTTGCATGTACTTCTGTGTGTTTGTTTTCTAAAGCTCTTAATTTGCAAGGCTCTTTTCTACAAATTTTAAAGAGGCAATAGAAGTGCAAGATGATATATGAATGGCATTTTTTAAAAGTCAGGATATTCAGACATTATATCTACTGTTTGGACTATTTCTCTCCAACCTGTAACTTATGCCCCTCCTGTTCTGGGGTCTTCCCTTGCTGCCCGGAATCGGACTGGGGCATACGTCCCCTCTGGGAACCCTGCTCTCTTTCCTGCCTCTGCCTCTTCGGGCGGCTCCAACCTGAGGAATTCTATATAATACAGAAATAACACCTTTCTATAATGGTTCTTTAGCTCTGCGTTTTTCAAATTACAGGTTGTGACCCTTTATTAGAGGATCTGTCACACCCACATAAGAAAAACAGAACAGACTAGATTTTCATTGCATTTGTGTGTGTACATGCATGTCATGACATCTGGGACAGGAGAGAAAAATGTGCGTCCTTTAGTCAAACATATTCGAACGTCCCTGCTGGGTTCCAACATACTGCTAAACTTTTATGGAAGAGAAACCAGTTACAATCTGTCTCCAGGAAATGGTCTTATGCCGTGGGAAATTTAATTGTCACAAGTCAAGGCAGAGCCGCCAGGAGTCCTGGTGAAGATGTTCCCGAGTCGGCAGCAGTCACGGTGGGCTGCCTCTGAGTGGGTTCCTACCGTCTCTGGAGGATGGCTTCTCCTCTGTCACTCCTACTCATTGTTCAGATCTCAGCCCAGGTGGGCCTTCCCCGGGGAAGCCTTCCCTGCTCCCCCTGTCTGCATCAGTTTCCTCTGTTAGATGCCTCCATAGAACTACAATTCTTGCCATCAGGACACCTGGCTCAGTTTTTAATGATACATTGATTAGGATGGTCATTTTATTGATTGTCTCCCTCCATCTTCTAGAACATGACCTCCACAGGACAAGTCTGGTTTTGTTCATTCAGGAGCCACTGCGATGCCTAGCATATAATCCACACCTAGTATAAACCAGTGGCTTGGGGCCAAGTCCCCACAGTCGACTGACATCAGGCATCCCATAAAACCCTCTGCTGTGCTCAGGTCTTCTCCAGAAAGGGGGCAGGGGTCTGATAGCACAAGATGCACAGGTGGGATCGAAGCCCCAGGAGCTCAGCAGAGGCCTTGGTCTTTAGCCACTGCTCTTTCCACACATAGACCCACACCGACCGAGAGTGAGCGGACCTCCTTCTTCCTGTCCCCAGTGCTCCCAGTGAGGCTCACGTAGAGCATAAGCAGAATTAGTGATGGAACATCCACATGGCTGTGGATGGGGCTCGACAGTTCCCGGTTCCATCGTTACAAGCTACTAATTGCAGTAAAGAACATTCAGGCCATTAAGCATTAGTGGGAACCAGCTCATTTAGATTCCATAGTAAGTGTTGCATGTATAGATTTTAGCTGAGGCTCTGATTTGTGTTAGTCTGAGCACAGGTGGGTGGTTTTTCCTCCTCTGTCCTCAAGAGTCTGTGAGGGGGAAGGCAGAAAGGTGGGGAGAGAGGAGGATCGATTAAGTATTTCTAGGGTTGCCTTAGCATGAAAAACATGTTTCCAAAAAAAATGTTTTGGAAACATTTTATTTTAGGTGGCAGAAAATGCTAACCCTCTGGCTGGCTCCCATGAGCAGACATTTATCGGGGGACGGCATAGTCACAGCCAGAGAGCTTGTGAGTTTTGAAACTGCTTTTGCATTTGAGAGACTGGGCCTTTGTGACCCCAAGCATCATTTCCATGGCAACCAGCTGCGATGAGATGGGGGGTTTTGACCTCGCAGGACATTTGCAACAAGAAGCAGATGAGCTTTTAGATGGAAAATTTACTGTATGGCCTTGAACAGATCTCCTATAAGTGAATCTCAGTTTCCTCATCTCTGAAATAGAGAAAGGAACCGGACATTCTTTTGATTGTATGTGGAGAGATCCATGTTGGAAAAGCATGTGTGTAGGTATTGTTGATCTTTACTTAACCAACCCAACCAACGTTTGACGTGAGGCAGAAGAGCTATGGCCTGCACACATTGGTCTGTTCTGGGTAGCTGTCAACAGGCCTGCTTTCACCTCTCTGACCAGCACCTCAGTCTTTGTTAAACTGGCTTCCTGGCTGGTCCTGGACAGGCGAGCTCACTGCCACCCCAGGGCCTTTGCACTGCAGTTCCCTGAGTATTTTCTTATGTTCTTCCTGGAGGGCTGTGTGGCCCACTCCCTCCCTTTGTCTGGGTGTTTGCTCCAGGTCACCCTCTTAGAGGGCCCCATCAGACACCCCATATGAAACAGCAACCCCCGAACGGTCTGCCCCTTCGTGCCTTTTCTTCACAGCACTGTGACCACCTGGAACTTCATGAGCTTCACGGGGCAAGGCTGTTATCATGGCTTTCTTTTTGAGTTTGGCTTGAATTTGCTACACCTACCAAACTGGCACATAATAGGCCATTAAATCCTCATGAAGAGCCTTTTTTCATTGTTTTAAATTTATTTATCTTTAGGAAACTGTTTCAAGTTTCAAAACTTGACCACGATCATGAACGTAGCAAGTGGCAAGCAGCCGTCTAAAGCCGGGGTGGCCCTCAAGTCCTGAACTTTCTCCTTGCTTCCCGCCTCTTTCCCTCTGCGAGCTGATGCCTTCGCATGCTTCCCCAGGTTCTGCCCTCATTACGCCCAGGCTTGTCCAGGCTCGCCCCACGCCACAGCGCTCTCTTTCTTCTAGATCCCAGGCTGCTCCCAGCAGGCACTGACACCAGATCCTAGTAAGTGCTCCCCACTCCACTGCCGTGTTCCTGGAGAACCCGGTGCTTGGCCTTCTAGAGCGGCGGCTGCCTATCCGATCATGAGTCAGGGCGCCGCACGCGTGGACCGGCCACCATGCCTCCGTTCCCTCTGGACGCGTGTGCTAGGAGGTGTGTGTGGTAGGAATATCTTCGCTCACCCCCTCGTGGGGACACACATGGCAGCCACTCCAAGAAGAATCCCTGAGGGAGTCTCACCAAGGGGTGTTCTTGGGGGTATTATTCCTTGTTGAAACATTTATTTCTGTGGGGCACCTGGGTGGTCCCGTCGGTGAAAGCATCTGACTCTTGATTTCGGCCCGGGTCCTGATCTCAGGGCCGTGAGTTTGGGCCCCGCGCTGGGCTGCACACTGAGCACGGAGTCTGGCTGGAGAGTCTCCCTCTCCCTCTGCCCCTCCCACTCGTGTGCACGCACTCTCTCTCTCTCTCTCAAAATAAATAAATAAACATTTTTTAAAAGACATTTATTTTTGAGTTACCTGACGTAACACGATGGGATGCCTTATGTTGAATTTGGACATTATCTTTTTCACCATATCTGAGGTGCTTTGGGGCATCACCATAATCCCTGGGCAGGTGGGACAAGCAGATGAAAATCTCCCCTCTTACCGTGCTTACGTATACTTTGGTGGGCAGAGACTGTTATTCACTAGACAACACCTGAGGTCCAAGTCTTTAACTTCCCTGTTGCAAACTGTCCAACATATGGACATGATGGTGCTTGCTCGGGCTGTTCCCGGCTAGTTTGTCGATGACAGTTGCTGGGAGAGGAAAACCTGGGCACTTATCCCTAAGGTAGCACAGTTCCTGTGGTGTGTGCTGGCCGTGCTGGGCTCATTTCCCGGTCCCACACCCTCTGCTCTGCTTCTTGCAGGAAAAGTGCGGTGGCGGGACTTTAACCAGGAAGCTTACATCGGAGGGACAATGGTCCGCTCCGGGCAGGACCCCTACGCCCGCAACAAATTCAACCAGGTGGAAAGTGATAAGCTGCGGATGGACAGAGCCATTCCTGACACCAGACACGACCAGTAAGTACGGAGCTGGGTGTGGGCCCGGGGCTTCACTTGCTTCCCCACAGCCCAGTAAGTAGCTTTTACTGTGCCACTAACATTTTTCTGTTCCTCCGGGCAGCTGACCGTGTGTTGTGTCTTTTACGGGGTGGCAAAGCTAGGAAAAATTCTGAGGCACACGGCAATGGGACCTCACCCACAGGAAGCGACAGGCCCATTTGGGATGGGATTCCAGCGTTGCGGATGCCCCGAGGCAGGATCTGGAGGCTGTGGGTTGCTGGCCAGAGCGTGGGAGTCAGCAGGAGAAAGTTGTGTTACTGGCCTCATGTTCACTCATCACTTGTCATTTCTAAAATCCATCCACACGCACAAGGATCGGTTCCCATTTTTCACGACCTCGTTGGAAGGAAGAAAATGGGAATGCTTGCTTATTAGGACAGTGTAAGTCGGAAATGCTGTAGGGAGCAGAAAGGGGAAAGAGATGGCCTAGCAGGGTAGGTGTGAAATTGAGACAAGAGGCACAGGGTGACCTCTGACCACAGTAGGAGCTCTTGTCTGCATCCCTCTATTGATTCTTCAGGGCTCTGGGACCTAAGGGTAGAGGGCACCCTGGGGTTTACCAGGCTCGGCCAGCGAGGTCTCTGGCCATACGGACATGTGCTCGCCACCACTTACGAGGGGAGTGATATCCCTAGCCCTACTCTTACCTCTAAGCCTTGCTGGTAAGAACCTCTGATTGGGAGGCTTTCCCACAGGCTTCGCTCGGGACTCGTCTTGTTTCGGATTGTTAAAAAAACAAGCAGCTGCATTTGGAGGCCAGCTGCTTTCCTGGGTGCTGGGTGGGCGTTCCTGCTCACTGAGTAACTTAGGGAGTCAGTCCTCTGTCAGGGCTGGCACATCGTGGATGCACATCTTCTGCAACTCAGACGCTGTGTTCGGGACCTGGGATTCCAGTCGGAAAAGTCTTGGCCTGTCCTGGCGGGTGGGGAATGACAGGTGCACCAGGAAGCAAAGGGATGCAGTACCCTGAGGCTTGGACAGTCTGTTCCAAATCAATGCATTCGGGGCCCCCAGGAGGTGGGAAGGCCAGGAAGGGCCCCAAGGAGGGGTGGGTCCCGAGCTGGAGGCCTCCAGAAAGAGGGTCAGGGACACGGCTGTGACAGGCTGCACTGGGCTTCCCAGGAGCCAGCCAGGGATCCGATTGCTCTGGGTGTGCGTCCAGGGATTGACAGGAGGGTAAGCTGATGAGCGACGAAAGTCAACGAAATTACACACAAACACATCTTAAAGTTTGCCCTTATTTTGTGAGGTAGTAGCATATGTGGAAAGTATTTTTCTTCTCTCCTCCTGAATTTCAGGGGAACTTGACTTAACTGTGTAGGTACTGGTTAACAGCCAGTGCTCACTCCCTTAACAGGTCTCTTTGCGTTCTAGATAGCTCTGTTCACCCATAGCAGCGCATAAGGATGTAGATTTACAAGTCTTTGGACTGGGGAAGTAAGCATGCAGTGTGTGTGTGATATATTTAGTATACGAAACATATGATCGATATGTAAATGTATGTGATATTAAAATCCTACCATTTTTCTAAATCCAGTCCAGGAGACTGCTTAGTATCTCCTGTGATCCATTCATTCTTCTTCAAGGGCAGTCCTGATGCTGCGCTCCTGGTTAAAGTCAGCATGGTTAACTGTTTAACACCCTCTCTAAAATAGGGTTTGCTGATCTGTGGATCCAAGGACCCCGGGGAGGCCACATGGAGGCTTTGGGACCCTGAAAGTCCCGAAGCTGTGTGTACCGTCCCGAGGTGTGCACATGCCTGCCTATCTGGGGAGAGGTCCCGGGTGCCTGCGTCCCCACCACCATCCATCCCCAGGCTAAATGTGCCAAACGCTCTTTGGGGTGCCCTCACGCCATCCTCCGGACTCATGGCGCTGGACACAAAGGTTGTCCTCATTGCACGGAGAGGAAACTGAGGCTCCTGCTGTGTTAAAACTTGCCCAGTGATTAGGAGCAGCCGACTTAAGGCCAGAAAGGGGCAGTGTGGCTTTTCAGAGGGGCTTGGCCTAAACCCGAGAGAGCGGTTAAAGTTCTAGCAGAATCTAGCTCCGAAACCCTACCTGGTGGCTGGAATCGACTGTTTGGAATCCTGTCTCCGTGAGATGGTGCTCACGTCACTGCACCATTTGGGTATGAGTGGTTTTTCTGCTGTGGCTCTTCCTCCACAGACTTTTCCTTCGAGCTGCGAGAAAGTTTGTCTTTGGTGACGGCCCATCAGTGTGTGGGCTGTGGTTCTGCCAACATTACCAGCCCCTTGAAAGTCCCCCAAACTATACATAGACAGACATGGCTTCTTTTCAGTTTTTGAGATAGGAGTTTGTCCAAACGGTTGTTTGACTATTCATCTCATGGTGGGATGTGTTATAGGTGGGGCTAATTTGAGTTCCAGCTACTGTGTCACGTTCATTTGCATGTGTTAAAGGAACAGCTGGGATGCCTTCCATGTTTGTTTGACTTCGGCTAAATTAAAGTCTGCCCAAGTCCGTCAGATGCCTGGAACCGAGCCAGTGTGCTATCCTCAAAGTGTGAGCTCGAGGAGAACTGCTCTGATTAAATGTCAGGTTAAGGAGATCAAGTTACCTCTGTGAATCCCCCCACCCCCCACCCCACCGTTTCTCTAATAAAGAGCGATTAAGGCATTTGACCTTCCACACAGATGTCACTTTTTTGTTTGTCTCTGCAGTATCTGCCTTGGTCTAGGATTATGGAAACGTTTGGATTCAGTCTTCACTTGGAATAAATCTGAAAGCAATGCACATGGTTAATTAAGGACAAGGTTTTTGGAGTCACGCAGATCTTGTCACAATCCCAGACTCTCCAGTTCTTAATTCTGTGGCCTTTATCATTTATAAGATGATGTCACACGATCACCTCTGGTTACTGTGAGGATTAAGCAGAATGTTCACAAGGGCTGGTTCCTCTTCCCGTGAGATTTTGTGCGAGAGCCACATCAGTGAGGTGGCCCTTGACCTTGACTGCCTCCCCTAGGAATGCAGCCTCCTGGCCCCCATGCCAGCATTCCTAATCCCCCACGCACTTGATTTCTCCATAATTCATATCACCACCTACACACCATGCGTTTGACTTATTTACACGTTCGTCTGTCTTTACGCATAAGAATAGTGAGATAGCATGTCCAGGGCTGTTATTGAACAACTCACGGCACTCCATAAACTCGGTACATATTTGTTGAGTGAGTGTATTGCTTAGCACAGAGCTTGACATATGGTGAGTGCCCACTGAGTCATTAGTGATGTTAACAGTCATAAAAAAAAACAAAGGAGAGTGAGTGAAAGGGAGATTGTTAAGCAGTGGAGATCAGATGAGCCCCAAGATTAACCCCAAATAACTCTACCGTGTTTATGTTCTTCAGGACTGGAAGGCACTGCAATTATACTCTACTCCTTATTGTTTGTCGTTTGGGATAGATACAAGGAATCAGGGATTCAGAGCCTTGCAAAAGCAAAAACAAAACAAAACAAAAACTCCACACATTTGGGCTATGTTTTATTTACCTTTTTAAGTGTATAAAAAAATACTGTGCCAAAAAAAAATCCACACATAGAAGCAGGAAGCCTTGAAAAGCTTGTGGGAGTGAAATCCTAGATCTGACATACAGGAAACCCTTAGAAATTAGAAAGTGGAAGCCCATGCTATTCTTGAAAGTACAGTTTCTCCACTCCAAAAAAAATTGCTTCTCTACCTCATTTAATCTTATTTGAAATCTCAAATAAGCTATCACGACGAAAAGCAAATTAAAAACCGATGGGAATTTCGAAAGTGCTTTTTCAGACTATTTGTTTCTACCCCATCCCACCTCTGGGAAGCTGTTGTTACGGGCCTGGCAAAAGATCATGCAAAGCAGCATCAGACAGATCCACATACATACGTACTGAAGGGGGAAGCCAACAGGATGCACTAATGGATTTGATGAGGGGTAGAGCTCCAAGGTTTATGGCTAGAACAAGGGAAGAGACAGGTTGCCTTTAAGTGAGATGGGGGAGGCTGAGTGGAGCAGGTGTGGGGGACACATCCAGAGTTAACATTTGGACGTGTTAAGTTCCAGATGCGTTGTGTGTGATTGGATGTGTGTCTGGTGTTCAGGAGAAAGGTCTTGGTGGCAGTGTGAATTTGGGAATGGTCTGTATGCAGATAGTACTTAAAATCATGCGATGGATGTCATATCCAAGGCAGGGAACATAGAAATAAGGAGAGGCCCAAAGACCAAGCTCTGGATGACTCCACCATTGAAATTTTCAGCTGCAAATGTGAAGCCAAGGCTAACACTTGGAGTATGGACCAACATGGTAGACCACTTACTATTTCCTATGGGTGATGAGAAGTGTTGCCTTCTTAGAGTAGGGGTAAGAGAAAGCCTCTCCAGCATCCAACTCAGAAGGGTTTGTGTTGTTTGGCTTTTGTTTGCATTTGAGCGTGTGTTGTTTTGTTTGCCCGGAAATGTGTCTGATGGGAAAGTCAAGTCCGGAAATCAAATGCAACCCAAGAAGTTTGTAGAATATGGTTCTGTCCTTCTTCTTTTCCCTGTCAGCCAAACACCATTCCTTTTCATTTATGTATTCAAGTCGCTAAAATGAGAACTGCTTGGTAAAAGAACAGGTTTTGCTCAGGTTGCAAAAGTTAAATGATTAGAAAGTTTCTCTCTGTGTCCCCACCCTTTCCTTTGATCACTAAATTAAAAATGAAGGGTTTTGAAGCTTTTTTGAATTGAAAACTAAAATACGGCTCCTGAGAACAGGCCTATCTCAACTGCATCCCACAAAGGATCCTTCTCTCAGAAAGAAGTGTATCCAAATTGCCCACCTAATGGATTCATCTGGCAGGCTCGAAATTGAGAAAACGCTGTTTTTACTCTGTCTATAAATTAGAGTTGTAAGGTTTGGTTTGGTTTTGTTCAGGATCATCACTGAAGAGCTATGTCTTGAACCAGTGTTTTTAAA